AAACAAATTCACCTAGAAAAATGAGAATTTCCACAGGAAAGTCCCTGGAATAACCACATTTCCCGTACCCGTGTGTTAAACCGAAAGGAAACTTTCCCTTAAACTAACTTTGATAGAGCTCCTTATCCCTCACTGGGAGTGATGGTGACCGAACTTCGGTTGGTAAAATACGATAAATTTTGGTCAGATTTCGACCACAGAGTTTCTAGAATTAGTCAGAACACCGAATTTCAGAATCCCTAGAAGACGGTTGGATTGGATTTCGACCAAACCCAAACTTCGTTCGGTTATTATGATTATTACGCGACAAGAATCTATTTTGCTTCGTGGTTAATCTAAGGACAGCGTTAATTAGAAGACGGTGCTCTTCAAATGGCGAACGTAAAGCACACATTAATCCATACTGACAAAATGTGTTGAAATAAGCGGCAAAGCAATCGCTCAGGTATACAAAATATACTTCCGAAAATCAACTGTTTTTCTGAAACTAAGCGAAATCGGCCCGGAACATACGTACTTTTCTGAGGTTAGAGAATCAGAAAACTGGTCGTGTGCAGAAGCTATCATGCTCTTGGATAAATTCTTGGGTAATCGAATATGGCGCTCCTGATATCCATAAAGCAACAAAGTAAATTGATTCATACAGGTAAATGGAATTCATGCACATAAATTCAGTGAAATATGCTGCAATGCAACCACACAGTATAGGTAAGACAAGTGCAAGTAGTTTATCAACGGATAATGCCTATTTCTTTGCATACAGTGAATCATGCTACGTTATGCCGTCTAGGTGCTCATCACCAATCCTATATCGTAGTCATAGATGGAGTGCCGTATCCAGGGTATCAATGTCCTCAGTTCCACCCAGTAACGTCTCCATTTCACGGAAGCGTCGACTAGAAGAGAATTTCAACTACAATAAAAATATCCACGTTGATGATGAATAATTCCGAATTCTTTAGAAATGATTTATATTTTGAACACATTCCATCTAGCTGTGCAATTAGTGATGTCGTCGATGATTGTACGTATGATCGCCATGTTGATAACCAAAACGCTATCATATGCATTATATTCAAGGCAGATTTATTCTCAGGTTGGCCTAGTGACATAATGGTTTTATGGCACCACAGGACAGAAGAGAATCTCAAACATAAGAAAAGTATATGTTGCCGACGAATAATGTCGATTTCTTTACATACAGTTAATCATCTGAAGTTGTGTCATATACATGCTAATCATGGATACGCTACTACACAGAAGACCGATTGTCATGTTCAAGCTTCCTTGTCTTCAGCTGTGAATAGAAACTGACGACTTCACACCGTCGGATAAAAGAGAATCTCAGTTATCAAAAATGTTAACTTCAATGCGTATTTCATTAGATATAGTTAATAATCAAGCAATCGCGCGACAAGTTACATTCACGGCTTTAGTTAAAACTTTTAAAGAGAAGTGCTAGTTTGAAGATGGTTCTTCTGATATTTGATTACTTCTATCTCTCAGATAGAATGTATTAAAATGAGAGAATCTCAAGAATCGGACGTTGCTAGAAAGCTGTTCCAGTTGATGTGTCATGTTCAAACGATATGCTCAAATGATGTGTCTGTCACTCACGATAACCTCAAACCTCCTCGATAGTTTACGTGTATTTGATAGAGCCCTACTTCTGAAATTCATTTCTTTTCTCATGCATTTCATAGAGCTCATACATAATCTGTCACAGAGCATGACTTCTAATTCGAGAAAGGTGTGCATCTCCTTGGGCTGCATGAAATTCCCACTTTGATATTCATGAGCACGCCAGCTTCACCATGAGTGGCACTAGGCGTCCTCTTTTCCAGAAAAACGTTTTGGAGAAATCGATTTGCAAATCTACTCAATGGTTTTCTTGCAATATGTGACACGCAGACTTGCCGTTGTTTGATAGGCGCACAGTGTTATCTGAGGAGTAATCGTGAGCCATAAATTAAAGGTGCACGTGTCTGGTTGTGTCAATTGCTTCATCTTATCTGATGAGAACATTTACGATTAATTGTGCCGTTCACAATTCAATAGAGTATTTGAGACGATATTGTGAAATTCGCTTTTTTTTCCCTGAAGAATGCCACCTTTGCCGGGCACTCACTCCTCTGTGAAAAGTGAGAGGCCCGTAAAAGCTGCCGTCGCAGTCAAACACCATCCGAAAATGCGGCATTCTCTCGAGCAGAAATCTCCCAAATGGAATGTCGTAGTTCAAGAACGTAAAGTAAGTATAAAAATATCGGCACCATCTACAGATTCCAACAAGTTTGCAATCGATTTCAACTGTTTTCTTCTTTGAACAGAGGTGAACGTGCGGCAAATAGAGAACGAAGCAATAATATTTTATAGAAGATGAACGCATATATTATCAACAACATCTTTGATTGCCATAATTGGCGTATTTTATTTTAAAGGCTCGATTCCAGTCTGGACTTAATGGTTTGCCGTGATGACGTCTTGAAACCAGTACCAGCGGTCGTTTTACGAGTTTCGATGGAGGTTCGTTGTCAAGCAATGCCATTCTCAGGTTCCAGATCTGAATCAGTAAAAATATTAAATGTGGATAAGTGCTGATCAATTGTTGATGAGATGAAGTCAAATTTATTTGTTGATGGTCGTGCAATTATTAGAATGCTCGAAAATTT